CTGCGCACTCCCCGCTGACTTTCGTTATGGGATTGAACAGCTGGAACACAACTGCATTATTGTCAGGATTTGACTCGTCGATGACTACCTGGGGTGCCAGGGCAGTCAGGTTCCGTAAGGCGAAAGACTTTGATACGCATTCGTCGTCATCTTGGAACGCCGGCAAAGTCATATGTGTATGTTCGAGTTGTGATGTTGAGGTAAGGCTCAAAAAAGCTAGGGACACGATCCCTTGAGCGTACATGGCACCGAAAAGCGTCATATCTAAATAGGCGATGTACTAGACGCATCTTCCAGGCAAGTTGGAGGGGAAATGGCATCGTTGTTAGGATAAGGTCCGGAGTTTATAGTCTCACAAAGCTGCGGTTTCCCCTGATAAGTATACAGGCTGTTTGTATCTCTAGTGTTATTGGTCTAGACAAATACAATTAATTCGCTTCAATCCCCAGTCCGGCAATGACGGAAGAGATATGTAACCGCCAAGAGTGTATAGGGTAGGTCAGGAATTACGCAGTTTTATTTCCGAACATGCCCCATATGATGACTTCGTTATCTTCAAATTTTTCTCAACTCCATCTTAGAACTGAATATGTCTCTTATAGCTCACAGGTCGCGATGCCGCCCAATTTCGAAAGTCAAAGCTACTGGCACGACAGATACTCCACTGAAGCAGCGTTCGAATGGCTCATAGATTCCTCGACCTTCATGCGGATCCTAGAGCCCTTCCTTGACCGCCTCGATCATTCTGCTCGTTTACTTCATCTCGGCTGCGGTACGAGCGACTTGCACAACCATCTCCGGGACAGGGGCTACTCCAATGTCACCAATGTTGATTACGAGCGTCTTGCCTTGAAGCGCGGGGAGGAGCTCGAACAGTCTAACTTTGGCGACGTGAATCTGAAATACGTACTTGCGGACGCGACGCAGCTCCAGCTCGGCGAGAGATATGACCTGGTTATCGACAAATGCACGGCCGATGCCATCTCATGCGGTGCCGAAGATGCCGTCCTACGCATGGCGCAGAGCATCAGGAAGCATCTAACGCCCGGCGGCTGCTGGATCTCGATGAGTTACTCCTCGTCCCGGTTTGATATCGCAGAGTTGCCATTCGCTGCCGAGGCGTTTGCTACCATCCCTGTGCCCAAGGAGAGAGAAACCGATCCGGACGTATTTTACTGGTGCTACCTTCTCCAGCCGTGATTAGAGGCTCTTGCAAGCTGTGTTCTGTGTATGTTTATGCATGGGGAATCGCCACGTTTACTTGCGAAGCGCGGGAGTGGAATAGAAGGATGGATAGACAGGATTTGGTAGATGGAGTTTGGGAAGTAGCCGTGTTTTCCCGGAAGCAGGCGTGAGGCAGAAGGTCGCGTCCACACTGTATGCTATGCGTTGGCGTTGATTATAGTCGTCTGGTTTTACTCAAGCAGCCAGACTAACAGAGCGGATAAGTGAGATCAGATCGCATCAAGCCCTTTCGGCCTCCCAGCATTCTTCTCCACATCCTCCATCGGATGTAAAAGTCTCACACCGCGAAGCATCCGCGCCAGCTGCCAGGTATTCTTCTTCTCATCACAGACATCAGGACGCTCAGCAACTTCAAGGAACGGCAGCACTTCCCCCTCATGAAAATCAGGCAACACAGGCTCGGTCTTCATAGACCAGATCGGGAGCCTCCACCTCGGTTTCCGTGCGAGCACAAAGGTCTGCTGGGCTGCCCGAGGCACTTGAATGTCGCCGAGTCCGACCGTTTGCGGCAGCCGTCCCTCCCGTAACACAACCCATACCAGACCCGCGAAGACGACGAGATGCACGGTGGCGTCCCCTGCTACAAACAGCCATCCCGTCCACCGGAGTATCGCCAAGCGGGATCTGGATGTGCCCCCGGTGGCGGTGGTGATCATCTCATCCGGCAGGATGAACTGCGTTACGGCCTTCAGCCCGTGCTCGGACGCAGTGTAGTTGCCGAATATGGTAGCAGTCATCGTGTGCTGAAATGGTACAGCTAGCACGTTGCGAAGGTTCGAAGTCGTGGAATCCTTGTCGTCGGGGAAAGACTTGACGTACGTCCTGTGGCTCCAGGTCATGGCGTATATCAAGGCGTTGATATTGCTTTTGTCGCTGAGGGTGGCGTTCGGGCCGGGCGTCAAGATGGCGCGAAACACCGTCTTGTAGTCGGACGCGCTGGTATTGATAGGTACGGGAACAGCCCCTTGAGGTATTTCGATGTCGACTATTGATCCGTTGCGTCGGTTGTAGGATGTTGTTGTCAGCTGTTTGAAGGCCGTCATGCGGGTTGTTGAGCTCATGGCACCCGACCGCCATGTGGTGTTGCTATTGCAGAGGTTGTTGTCGAGGAGGTTCTTGGGACACGCAGCCCATCCTGTCACACATGTTACTGGTCATTCGTAGTGCTTGGGGAAGTTCCATAACCCACCAAAGTCAATAGACTGCCCGTACTGCTTCATGCATATCTGCAAGCCATTGTTCTCCTGAGCGCCACCATAGACGCAATCTTGCACGAGATCAAACGTAAGATTTGCATCAGGTTTCTCGAACTTCAGGATAAAGCCTGTCGCATTACTGATCCGCAGGGTCTCGGAATTGTCGAAAGTCCCCCCGGACAGCAAGGTCTCATTCAAGAACTGCTTAACTTGACGAGGCGCTTCCAGTCCGCCAGGCATAATGAAAGATCTGCAGTCTCCGTCGCATCCCGCAAACGGGAACTCAAGGGCGTACCTGGAGTTGCTGAGTAAGTTGGAGCTCCATAGCTCAAAGAACATGCATATGTCCGCTTGCGAGACGACCCTCATGACACCGACATCGAGAGGTATGAGACCAGCGTAAACTGTCATGGTCACGTTCGAGGCCACGAAATAGTACTGAAAGGTTGCCATGACTGATACCCGTGCTTGTGTTAGTACTGAAGTCTGCCACATGGCCACGCCGAGGGTAAAGGTCCTTACACTTGAGGACTGATCCAAACGCAAGGCACAGTACAGGAAGGCTTAACCTTTATTTCAATCCGGGTCAGTATCACTGTGAGAGGTATATGACAACAGGCGACCTTACCTGAAGTTACACCAAGGATTGATGAACCAGTTCATCGCCGCTACTTGGAATACGGTGAGAAACCCGGAAGCTTCGCCTAGGCCGACGTATGACTCGAACGAGCTACCGTCGGGACGAGTCATGAAGACCGTCCTCAGGATGCCAAGGAATGACTTCAGGGTCGCATCAGTAAGATATGCGGATATCTGAGACAGGACTGAGACGACCAAGTTGGTTGTCGACGCCTCCCAGAACACGCCGAAGGGAGTCTCTACCCGCCCGTAGATGAGAACGACGATGATGAACCAGCAGTACAGGAAGCCAAAGAGCAGACTGATGCCGTATGTAAGGATGACGGGCCTGAGTTCGCGAAGTCTAGTTGACACAGCAGCCAATCGGGCCTTGAATGGGTAGCCGTCAGGGAACCCAGGTGGTGGTGATGCTCCAGGAACATTTTCATGGTCGTATTGAGGAAGTGTGAGTGTTGTCTCGATGGTCGACTCCTTGAAGTCAAAGCTACTGGGCGACCAATCCTCTTGGGACCGCCGGTCACTCGACGACGGTCGGTCCATGACTTGATGAATGGCAAGTAATACTCGACGCAACAGGCCGAGAAAGAAGTTATTTGACCATCGCGAAAAGCCAGCCGTCCACCAGCACAGATAGCACATCAGAGAAAGGCCTGAGCTCTTATAACAATTCTCAACATACTAACTTCAGCCATCAGGGTCATGAGTATGTGGTATCTCACAATACTGACCGCGCACCGGAAAAGGCACCGACGGCATGGCCGCAGAGCCTCCCTCGGTCAGAGGCAGCCAACGGAGTATAATTGAACCGATAACAGGCGGAAGAGCTGTCCGAGACCCGACTCGAGACAACCTACATGCTCCGGAAGGGCGACAGAGATTGAGTACTGTCATAGGGATTACCGACTGACGACGATGTCAAATTCGAACCATTCGGTGAGCCAAACATTGATATACCCGACCACACCACTTAGGCTCAGCCTCGGATCTTGGGGCGGAGTAGAGGAGAGGGGGTAACGAGATGAATCGAAGCTGCAAACGCGACCAGGAAGCTCAGGAGGGTGCTATCTGGTTTGTGTAGAATTCCATCGGTAATGGAATCGGTGAGGGATTGATAAAGGCATGACTTCTGGCAAGTAACGTGCAAGACAGTGTCACACCGGCCCCTCAATACGAGAGACGCGATTGGATCTGATATCTCCCACGGTGGCTTTGCGCTACAGCAAGGATCCCACCCTGCACGCGTCGACCTTGTGGCTATGCGCAACCACGTTTTCTGGCCGCAGCGGCGCAGACACATTGGTCGAGTCCGGCCATCCCCCGCATCAACATGAAACGAATATCAGAAGCTTGGCGAGCGGGAGTGGCTCATTTTCAGCCCTATGATCAGCATCATCTTGCCCGAAAGACACACCGCACTCGGTACCTAGCCTCGTTGATGCCTGTTGTTCCAATGCTTGGCAAGCATGGCGTCGATGCCAAGGTCTCCTGATAGTCTTCAAATGCGGGACATCTCAGGAAAGTCGAACATGATTCAGCACGTGGTAAGTTCTAAGCAATTTGCTGAAGAGCGGACACTCAGGCAAGCGGTGGTTGGTGTTGGCAACTTGGGTTAGTACATCAATTGAAACCGCAGACGTTGAGAAATCATTGTGTGGCCCGTGCGCACCTTCGCATCTGGCTTACGTCACACGGGGAGCACGCCAGAACCAAGCTTGAGAGCCAAAGGAAACTGCGATGGCACACAGCCTTCCTGCTGTCTTAAACAGACCCATTGCGGTAAATGTGTTGAAATTAGGCTTGTCGCTATAGATCTGGCTGTTTTCATAGAAACTATCGAGTCCAAAACCGATACCGAAGCTGATCCTATCGTGGATCCGAGACCCTTTGTTCATAGTGTGTTTTAGCCGCGGAGTTAAGCAAGCCCGGGTAGCTCAGTTGGCTAGAGCGTGGGACTTTTACGACTTACACAAGTAAGATCCGACATCCCAATGTCGAGGGTTCGAGCCCCTCTTCGGGCGATTTATTTTGCCCCTGAATCCTCTGTTAAGAGAGGATAATCTGCTTTTTTGCCCTCCACCTTCAAAAGTCTCACTATAATCGCAAGGAGTTTTGACCTATGATCTTGGGTGGCGTGTGGCTGGGACTATTTACGCATGCTTAACTTGTCAATTGCTTCCTTTCCTTAACGGCCATGCTATATACATCCCCTTTGTCGCTCTTGACGTAGGCCCAACGCTACATCCTCGGCAGTGATGTCGTCCAAATTACGCATCCCACCCAGTCTATGGCCTCGCACTGCCAATGTGCATGATGTCTCAAAGACTTCCGGACTGATACGCTAACATCCCCAACTGTGCCCGCCTCAGATCTGTGGGGTATATGGTCTACTTGCAGGAAGCGCAGTGACTCCCCGACGACGGTCCATCGCGAGTATAGACCTCATGGCCAGACCAGAAGGGGTCTCGCAATCTTCGGGCCAGATGCGACGGTGGCTATGCACGACTTCAACCGCGATGAATGATGTATATAGCAGCGCCCAGGCAGCTTGTGCTGCTTTGTCAGACATCCAATGCGGTCTAGACTCAGCACAGCCCTCAAGCACCCTAAGCCCAAGACAGCATACATGTTGTTCTTGTGCCTAGCACAATGATCGACATAGTCGCCACCTCATGCTATATATATCCTGGAGACGACTATCCAGCGGAAAGAATGGAGCGAGATGACGGCACGCGATTGCACAGCATACATCGACGGCGTTAAGCGGACCGAAGGTGCACGTTCAGCGGCACCGCGAGCGTCTTCAAGGGTGCTGATACGCCCTAGATGTCTAGCAGGACAGTGCTGGACTTTGGAGTGCTGGGTGGTTCCAGGACGGTAGAGGTGGTTGCGGATCCGATGGATGGAGAGTACTGTTATGTTTATGTGTACAGGTAGGTTAGCAAGTGACGCTACGGGAGCATACCCTAACCCACGGACTGCATGATCGGCAAGGTAGCTTGCACAGTCACAACCCTTGCCTTTCTCTCCGTCTCTTCGTCTCAACGAGCGTGTAGTAATCCCTAGTCCATTCAGTCGTCTGGCTCACATTGGCGCCAATTTAGCAGATATAGTAAGAGGTGGTAATATCCATCGTCTGTACGAGGAGAAAGTAATATTAAACTTAAAGTACCTTTAAGGTAGTAGATAGAGACTATTATTCAACGGTGGTCGTCGGGTGGCCCAAACCTTTAGGAGAAGAGGCACGCAACCTGCATGACGTCAATGCATCGCCGACGTCATCGGCACGGGATGTACGCTTCACAAGTCGCGAGCTCAAAAGTACCTTAACTTAACCGAAAATACAAATGCTTTCAAATTCACAGCTTCCTTCCCTCGCCCTCTGTACTGACATCCAAAAGCTAGCAACTGAGTGTTAAAAGCAACCAATCCAACTAGATCATACATCATCAAATACCATATCCCATTTCAACCCCACACCACCAACAACCAAAATGTCATCCAACAACACCCAACCCCCCTCCAACCAGCCCGGCCTGATCGGCTCGCACGCCGAGTACATCAAAGGCGCAGCAGAGGTATGTCTCCCACCCATTTACCTCATGCCTCCATCCCCTATCCCCCATCCCCCATCCTCACTCCCCAACACTGACTAACCCCCCATGTAGGCCGCAATCGGCAACATCACGGGCTCGCACGCCTGGACGTCGTCGGGCGAGCAGGACAAGGCGCACGCAGTGGCCGAGATGCGCGCCGCGGCCGAGAACCGTGACCCCTCGCGCGACGGGTACGGCAAGGCCGAGGAGGTGGCCGGCCGGGTGACGGGGTGCGAGGGCATGGCGCGGGAGGGCGCTGCTAGCAAGGAGAGGAGGGAGTAGAATCTTTGTCTGACGACGAATCGGTGGTTGTTGGGTGTATGATACGAGTATATGGTATTGGCGTACGGAATGGGATATATGTCGATTAGGATTCAAATGAAGATTTCTCAAGTCCACATGGGTTAACATAATGCTAAAACGAGCCTATGCACCGGATTGCAAGTACAAATACACATGCACAAGAGTCAAGATGTTGTCACAGACCACTCTATTAGATCTCTATCTATCGTGTCTTGTATCGTTGGGACCTTCCCTCGGCCCAAGCCGTTCTGCATCCCACCTCTCCCGGAGGGTCTCCAGTCCTCGGGCGACGAGAACGCAGTCCAATGCCGTCTACCAAGGCAAACCCGCCGATACAAACGCAGGAGGCTCGCAAGCTGCTCCCGCGTCTTCCTCAATCGCCTAGGAAACTTTCGTGACAGAAAACGACAAAATGCCCAGCCATGCAAAACCAGAGAAACCCGCAAGGCGAGACTTTTCCTTCGTAAAACCATAAAGACAAAGGGAATAAGCGCGATAAAAAAAGCAGAAGAGTCAATCCTTTAGATGTCGTCCTCGTCGCTGAAGACCTCCTCACCACGCTTCCGGCGAGCCATGCGGTCCTTCTTCTTCTTCCGTGCCTCGGAGCTAGTGAGCTTGGCCTTCTTCTTAGTGCTAACAATCTTGTTGCCCATAGCGTCGAACTTCTCCTCCTCCTCACCGTCGTCAGCCTTCAGACGGGGACCAGCACCCTGGCCTTGCACCCAGTTGTGGCCGGATGGCGTCATCTTGCCGTCCATGACAGCCCAGACCTCCTCGGTCAAGTCCTTGGTGAACTCGGCGCTGTGAGTGATGATGATGACACCACCCTCGAACTTCTTCAGGGCCTTGGACAGGGCACCGAGAGAGTCACGGTCGAGGTAGTTGGTAGGCTCGTCGAGGACGATCAAGTGAGGGCGCTGCCACGAGCAGGCGGCAAGGACGACCTTGACACGCTGACCACCAGAGAGACCCTTCATGCGCGAGTGAGAAACCAGCTCGGCGTCGAGGCCGAAGTTGGCGCAGTGGGCCTCAATCTCCTTACGGACCAGAGGACGGAACTGGCCGGAAGCGAGAGCCTCCTTCATATCGACGTCGGCAACAAGCTTCTGGTGAGAGGCCAGAAGCTCGGTACGCGGGAGCCAAACGTTGTCGGCGCTCATCATGGGCGACCACCGCTCGTTCTTCAGACCGACATTCTCACCGACGGCGAACGAGCACTCGTACTCGTAGCTGTTCTTGAACTTTCTCCGCGAGTGGATGCCAATGATGCGGCGCTGGGTGTCTTGGATCTTGAAGATCTTGTTCATGGCCTGCTCATCGTCCTCGGTGATGATCTTGTTGGCACGGTCCATTGTCTCGCGATCCTCACCAGTCTGGAAACGCCATTGGATGTACTCCGAAGGAGTCTTGTCGAGATGGTTATCGATGTGGGCGAAGGCGTGCTGCTTGATGTAGGCGATACGGATGTTCTCGTGCTGGTAGATCTCACCCTCGGTGGGGATCAACTCACCAGTGAGGACGTTGATAAGGGTAGACTTGCCGGCACCGTTGGGGCCAATGACAGCAATACGAGAGCTGAGAGAGCACTGGAAAGTGATGTCCTGGATCTGCGGCTTCGGGGTACCGGGGTACTGGAAGGTCATCTTGGTGGCACGGAGGATGGCCTTGGCCTTGGTCTTGACACCCTCGAGGAAACCGGGCTCAGGGAAGGAGAACTCCATCTCGGAGGCACCGAGCTCGTAGTAAGACTTGGCCGAAGGGCACTGCTTGACGAAGTCCTGGAGGTTACCCTTGTAGCGCTTGAGCTTGAAGCGCTCGTAGTGGATGATGTGCTGGCAGACGTTGTCGAGGAAGCCACTGTCGTGGGACACGATGATGGATGTGCAAGGCGACGCCTTGAGGTAATCTTCGAGCCACTTCACATTCTTGACGTCAAGATGGTTAGTGGGCTCGTCGAGCAGCAGGATATCGGGGGCCTCGAAGACAGCACGGCACAGAGCGAGCTTCATCTTCCATCCACCGGAGAGAGCGGTGATCTCTCCGGTAACCATGCGCTCGTCGAAACCAAACTCTGTGAGCTGCTTGACGACATCTTCCTCGCTGGTTTGGACGCCAGCATCGGCAAGCTTCTTCATGGTCCACGCGATGGTGGTCATCTCAGTGTCCTCAGAGTCAAGGTCGTGCTCAACGAACACAGTCTTGACTTCGCTCTGCTTGGGGAAGCCCTCGACTTGCTCGTTGTTGATAGCGCGCATGAGGGTGGACTTTCCGGAACCGTTGGGGCCGCAGAGACCGTAGCGGTGACCGCGCTTGAGACGAAGGCTGGTCTGGTTGAGCAGGATCTTGGCACCATAGGCGAGAGAGAATGTGCAGTTGCAGAGATCCTCACCCTCCTCGTCATCCTCGTCCGCAGCCGAGTCGTCGGAGATACCGGGAGAAGCCTTCTTGCGGAGAGCCTCGACGACAGAGTCAGCCTCGGCATCACCGACAATAACGGCAACGTATGGCTTGAGGTTCATGGCCCAGGTAGAAGGCTCAACCTCCTTCTCGTCAATAAGCTGGCCAGCGACGGCAGCAATGTGAGTGAGAACAGGGGCAAACTTCTCAGCGGCAGCAGCGTGCTTGTTGGGGAGGACCTCCTTGAGCTTGGCAAGGACGACGTTGAGGTCGCTGTCGTTGCGTGCCTCGGGGATCTTGCCATCAACGACGTTGCCGACGCGGGTGAGGGTATCGAGGGCCTGCTTCGTCTTCTCACGGGCCTCGGGATCGGCAAGGTTGTCGTAGTTCTTCTGGAGACCGGGCATCATCTTGGGCAAGAAAGGAGCAACGACGTTGGGGTCGTCGACGAGCTTGCACATGTTGTCGACGATGACGGCAGCCTTACGCTTGATGGCGGTCTCGCGCTCGCCAAGACCACGATCAAGCAGGGGTACCATGAGGGCAAGAGTGGGCTCCTGGACCTCAGTGACGAAAGTGGTGGCACCGAGCAAGTGAACAGTCTCCGGGACGTTCTCAGGCTTGGCGATACACTTGATGAGCTCGGGAATGAAACGCTCGATATCCCTGTTGACGATCAAGGAGCAGAGCTTCTCCATCGTCTTGTAGGCACGGTCCTTGACCTC